ATTCGACTGCTCTAATAAATTTAAAGTTTTAAGTCTCGCTTAATGTTGTTACAATCAGTCCTTAGAAATATTACAAGAAATATATTAGAAACATAAGATTTTTATATTTAAAATAACAATGCATAAAACATTACAGGAAGTAAACAAAGAAGTAACTAAAAAATAACGACTCGTTACTTTTTGAGTAACTATAACTGTAACGTTATTTTTTAAAATCGGTGTAACTTGTAACGGTAACTAGGTATTTTTTGAAAGGAAAGACTATAACTGTAACTAATTACTTTTACAAGGTTTCCCTGCCTTAATAAATACATTTCCAATCTTGATAAATATATATTATATCTACACACTTTAAGTGCAAGTTCGCTAAAAATGTACATTTACCTTGTTGCGTCATTAGACAGAAGAAAAATATACAATATGATACTAATATATGATAATGAAATGTTAATCATAAAAAATGTAGATCTAAATGTAGTCTAAACTGTTTTTATTCCCTCATTTATTCCGTTCGTGACTGTAATCATTGACTTTAATTGGTGAGAATCAAGGCTAAATTTTTTTTGACATAGATTTCCTTGGAACGTTCAGTTGACACGTGTAAATCTACTTCCAATCAGAATTAAATGATAAACCAGAAGTAATAATAATAAGGAAGAAATAATCGAATAAATAATAAAGAATACGATAGAGAATTTCACGTTCATAATTGCTACTTATTTATTATATTTACTAATATTTTACATTTTCACAAGTGTACTGTTTTTTTCTGTTCAAAACTTTACATCTTTAATCTCGAATACATGTATATATGTATATTGTAATATATATATATATATATATATATGTATCATTGTATTGTTGACGTGTTATTCTAAATACGTAATTTGCGATAAATATCATCACATGCCTCGGTAGTCGAAAGGATAAGATGTCTGCCCGGTAAGCAGGAGATCCAGGTTCCTGGCTGAGGTGGATTTTTTCGCAAAATAATTACGACTGGTTCGTGGTCGGGCCCCGCCGTGACGCACACCCTCCCTTCTTATTTGGATTTAAATATAATTTTCACCTTTTATCGCGATATTTGTCCACACTTCTGCACGAAAATTCTTTATTTTTTCGAGGTGTTTCTACCTCCTGCGGAAAGTCGGACATCATATCGTTAATGCGATTGTTGACATATCCCACATCCTTTCTCATTTCCTATGAAAAAATAAATTTTTTGAGAAGAAATTTTTTGAGAAGAAACATCAAACATGTTATCTCTCGATCTTATCGATTTATATTCCTAAGCGATTTTCTTTCTCTCTTTCTCTCCTTTCTATCTCGGGCGCCGCCATCTCTTTTTTTAACGATATCATCTCGATATAATTAATGAAATTAATTCACATTCCATTAAGTCTAATCACGAAGCAAATCATCGAGGTATTCTTTATACCTGCATTCTCTTTCGTAATACATTGGCGGTCGTCTCACGTAAAACATCCGTAGATACGTTTCTTTTGACCACTGAAAAAAGAAGTAGATATCTATAATCGTGCCGTCCGGATAATGAAAGCAGTTAATAAAGATCGAATTAGCATGAAAGCAGGTTCGGCATATTTATCGAGAACTTGGTGTAAACAGTCACGATATAACTTTTGTCAACTAACATGGTCATTGTTAATTTCCTGTAAAAACGAAGTCTCTAATAAAGAAAATTATTGTAATAATTTTTCTAAATTAAAATTTGCTTTTACTCTTCACTCTTAAGATTATTTTAAGATTATTTTAAGATTATTTTCGAATTGAGTATTGTTTATTCGTTCTCTTTTTTTACTTATTTTTTCGCTTATTCTTATACAGCACAAATGACTGTCGACTAATTGTCGACCTTTTTTAGTCGATTTGAAGTCGACTTCTAAACGTTTAGCTGAATAAATTATATAGAATACATAAATAAATGATAATGATAATATAGTGAAGATATAAATATCCATAGAGATAAAACCCTAATTTATGTCTATCTATATAAATATATAAATGAATTTTTATACATCTTTATTTTATTTATATAGAATAATTATTTCATAATTTTATGGTTCTTTTGAAGTTAAAATAATTGAGAAATTATTTATTATTTATTTTACTTATTTTTGTTAATTTTTCAAATCCAAAATTTTCGAGAATTCCTTGAAAATTAATTTCGACGATAAAGACGATTAATGAAAAAGCAAATCATTTGTATTAATTAAGCACTTTTGCAATATTAAGCAAATTGAATAAATTCCGCTACGCAATTAAATCTTAATAACGCATAAGTATTTGTCAACGCTCAATTATCAACTTTGAAATGTTATCGCAATTGTAGAGAGGTCTTCAACTTTGATAGATAAAAGTAGTATAGTAATTAAACAAAAGCTTAGCAGGTTAAGTATACACATAAAACATGAGGCACGAGATTAAGAGTAATAAATAAACTGAAATCCGTTAAACGTCGTATACAAGAAATTAATATTTTACAATATATTTAGCGTAAGACATTATTATGTATGCTTTGATTTCAAATTGCACACAATTTCCTTGTCAATAAGACTTCGTCGAATTGTAGATTTTCGTTTGCCGTAACTCAATTATATAACAATATAATTGTAAATATTTGATAATTATATAATATTAAAATGTTTGTGAACAATTGATAATTATATGATAATATTACAATTGTAAATAATTGACTTTTAATTAATGATTATTAATTTTTCTTTATGTATTTTCATGATTCAATGGCGCTTCAACGACGAGCTGCTTCTGTGATTTCAGTCACAACTTCGCCTCTCCGATGAAGGAGAGGCCCGCATCAGCCCGCACGCGGACTATTTAAGTGGCACTTCGATTCAATGTTCCGAGCATCCGATCGGGGCTCTCTTTTCAGCGCATGCCCGACGAAAATAGTATTAGTATAGTATCTAGCACGGACGAAAGATATGCCTTTATTAGCCCTTGTCAAAATTATTTAAAAATTATTAAAAAATTTATAATCCATAATTTATAATCTATAATTTATAATCCACAATTCATAAGAGCTCTCTCTTTGTTCTTTTAGAATTTATTTTTAAAAACTTTTCTATAACTTTTTTATCAAGATTTAATTTTTCATAAGAAAATGTGAAAAAAATGCAAGTATTCTCCAATTTATAAATGGTAGTGTATCTTTATATATATATTAAATGTAATATATAATATTAAATCTAATATTAAGAATAAAAGAATATATAGAAAGGGTATTAAGAAAATTTTTAAATAAAACAATTCTCTTATATATATATATATATAACAAAACATTTTATTTGGCAGAATACAAAGAATACCAACATTTGTTGCATCGATAAGGAAAACTGTACAAAAACCTTACCAATATTCGTACCAGTATTCGTATAACAAAAATACATTTTTCATTAAACTAAAAATAAATATTTCATATAATATAAACATAATATTTTATAAACTATAAACAAAACAACTTTACTATATGTATTTAATGAATTAATAAAATTTAAATAAAAATAAACTTAACTTTAAGGAACATAAATATAAACTTTTACTTAATATTTATAAAGTATAATAAACATAAATAATATATGGAACTGAAACGATATAATATGTTAAATAATTCTTTGGCTTTCATGAACGAATTAGAAAGAACATAAAGTACAGAAAGTAATAAATTAGAATATATAATCTGAAGAAATAAGATCTGAAAAGTAAAATAACAGTTATAATTGTTGCGTATGACTAGCATGTTATTAAAATATTGGTTAAATGAGTAAAATATACTACTATAAATATAGGACTCCCGTTTCCGGTGGCGAGAGTGACAGTGGTGTATGTGGACAGTGTGTTTAGCGAGAGGGTCTAGGGTCTGGGATAAGAAGGGTTGGAGTGGAGGGTGGAGTGGCGTGGAAGAAAGGGCAGAGGGAACAGGGAGAAGAAGAGAATAAGGCAAGGGTAAGGGAATAGAAGGCTAGAAAAAAGGGCAGGTGGACGGGCAGGTGATAGTAAGACGCGAATGATAAGGAGTGTAGGGAGTAAGTAGAGAAAGGAGGCGGAGTCAGCGACATCGGGTGGCGGAAGCGAGAAGCATAGAGGAAGCGGTCGAAGCGGAAGCGCGGGAAATTTGGAAAGGGAGAAGGTTGTATGAAAGGTGAAAGACGGGAGGAAGAAAGAAGAGATAGAGAGGGAGAGGAGGAGAGGGGTAAGGAGGAGAATGAGAAAGGGGAGGAAAAGAGGAAAGTGGGAAGGCCGAGCAGGGCGGAAAGCATGATGAGGGAAAGAGCAAACAGTATGCCTTTGATAGAGTTATTCAAGAGAGGAGAGAAGAGGAAAGAAAGGCAGGGGGAAGAGACGGAGAATGAAGAAAGAGAAGTCTTTAAGAGGAGCTCAAAAGTAAAGAGGTCGCCGGAAAGGCAGGAAGAAGGAGGGCTGAGGGAAATATTGAGGAAAATAAAAGAGGGCTTTAGGGAGATGAAAAATGAGATAAGAGAAATGTGGAAGAGTAGAGAAAAGTTGAGAGAATGGATGAAAGAAATGAGGATAAGTTGGGAGAAAGAAAATGAGGGGTTAAAGATAAGATTAGAAAGACTGGAGAAAAGATTGGAAGAATATGAGAAAAGCAGGAGAAAGAGGAAGATGAAAGGGAAAAGAAAAAAGATAAAGGAGAGAAGATGGAGCAGATAGAGATAAGGAGAAGGGAAGGGATGATGGAACTAGAAGAAAGGATGAGGAGATTAGAATTAGAGGGGGAAAAGAAGAAAAGGGAAGAGAGAAAGAAAAACATAATTATAAGGAGGGTGAGAGTAAAGGAGGAGGAGGTAGGGGGATTAAGAAAAGAGATAGAAGAGATAGTGGTGGCGACGGGGGCGGTAGTGAAAGTGGAAGGGATAAGGAGGGTAGGGAATAAGGATAAGGATGGAAGGGAAATGGTGTAGGTAAGATTTGCGAGTGTAGGGGAGAAGATAGAGGTGATGAAGGGAAAGGCAAAGCTAAGAGATAGAAGCGAATGGATTGAGGATGATCTGACAGAAAAAGAGAAAAGGATAAGCTGGTTGTTGAAGAGGGAAGCGGATAGGAACAAGAGGGAAGGAAAGCAAGTAAAAGTAGGATATATGAAAATATGGATTGAGGAGAAATTATGGGTATGGGACGAGGTTAAAGATGAGTTAAAGGAATGGCAGGGAAGAGAGATGAGAAAAGAGGAAAAAGGGGTAAAAAAGGGAAGTGGAGAGGAGAAAGAGGAAGCGGTTTTTTAGAAGTGAGGTGAGGGGAGGAAGAAAGAGAGAAGGGAAAAAAGGAAAAGTATGAGAAGGAGAAGGATAAAGGGAAAAAAGGAAAGAGTAAAGAGTATAAGATAGGTTTCTGGAACTGGCATGGAAAACAAGAACGAGGATTTTTAGAGAGAAATTAAAGAAATGGGATGTGATGTTTCTAAGCGAGACATGGTTACAGAAGAAAGGCTGGGAAAGAGTTCGAAAATAGTTGCCAAAGGGATATGTGTGGAAAGCAGGAAGAAAAACTAAAAAGAGAGGGCAATGAGGGGAATGGTGGTGGGAATAAGGGAAGGGATAGAAAGAGAAAAGAAGCCAGGGAGAGAAAAGAGGAGGGAATGCAAGCGGTCAAAGTTAATCTGGGGGTAGAGTGGTGGAGGCTAGTGGGAGTGTATGTGAATGGGGAGTTAGAGGAGAAAATGACATAGCTGAGAGAGTGGTTGGAGGATGGAGAGGTGGGGATGAGGGGTTTTTAGTGGGGGGGATTTTCAATGCGAGAACGGGGAGGAAGGGGGAAGAATGGGGAAGGGAGGGAAGGGGGGAAGAATGGGGAGGGGGAGGGGAGAAGAATGGGAGGGGGAGGGAGAAGGAGGGGATGGTAAGAGGAGTTCGAAGAACGAAAAGAAGAAAAGAAGTTGTGTGGTTGTTTGGGGGAGCTAGGATGGTCAATATTGAACGGAAGCATAAAAGGGGACGAGAAGGGAGAGTGGACATATACAGGAGGAAGAGGAGGGACGGTAATAGATTATGTGATGGGAAATGAGGAGACGAGGGCGAAGGTAAAAATGATGAAGGTGGAGGACTGGGTGGACTCCGACCATCAACCGATAACGGTATGGATGGAGGGAAGAGGACGTAGGGAGGAGAGGACAGTGAAAGGGAAGAGGAGAGGAAGAAGGGGAGTATGGACAGAGGAGGGAAAAAAGAAATTTAGGGAATACGTTGGGAGAAAAGGTAGTGGATGCGAAGGGGTGGAGGAGGAATGGAAGAAACTGAAGAGGAGGATATATAGGAACAATAGATCAAATATATGTATTGAATCATTTGATAAATAAGAGAGTGGTAGAGAGGAAGGGCAAGATGATGGTTATGTTTGTGGATATGAAAGCGGCTTTTGACTCGGTGGACAGGGAGATACTTGTACAGACAATAAGGAGGAAGGGAGTGAGAGAGAGCTTGGTGGTGAGGTGTGAAGAGATGTTGGAGGAAACAGTGTGTAGAATAAGTATGGGGGAGGGGGGAAGATTCTAGATGGGGAGAGGAGTAAGACAGGGATGCCCACTGAGTCCGTGTCTATTCACCCTGCTGTTGGCGCACTTAGATGAGGAGCTAGAGAAGGGCGGATGGGGAGAGGAAGGTGAAGGGAAGGAAGATATATTCATTGGCTTATGCGGATGATGTGGTAGTAGTAGCGGAGGAGGAAGCAGGGATGAAAGAGATGATAAAAACACTGGAAAGATATGTGGAACAGAAAGGCTTAGAAGTGAATGTGGAAAAGACGAAGGTGATGAGGTGTAGAAGAGGAAGTGGAAGACAGAAAAAGGTGATGTGGAAATGGAGAAAAATAGAGAAAGTGAAGAAGTATAAATATTTGAGATACGTGATGGTGGCTAATGGGGGGCAGAAGGAACATATAGGGGAAAGAATTAACAAGGGAGCGACGGTGATGAGAGAGGTCTAGGGACTAGGAAAAAGAAAGTTTGGAAAGGATTGGACAAGAAGGATGTGATTGTTTGATAGGTTAGTGTGATCAGTAGTTAGTTATGGAGTGGAGATTTGATAGAAAGAAAGAGAGGAGGTGGAGAGGATTCAGGTAAAAAAGTATATGAAATGGGTTTTAGGAGTCGGGAGATATACCGGGATACATGGTTAGAGAGGAGATGCAGAGAGAAAAGCTAAAGGGGAGGGCGGGATTGAGAGCGTGGAGTTTGAGAGGAAGTTAGGAGAAGAAGGAGGAAGGCAGTTGGCAAGGATATGTTGGGAGGAGATGAGGGATAGGGCGAAGGAAGGAAAGGTGGTGGGAAAATGGGAGAAGGAGAGGAGAGCTTTTTACGAGGAGAAGAGATGGAAAATAGAGGAGATAAAGAAGATGAGGGAGGAGGGAGAGTTGAAGGGGGAAGAGGTAGTGGGGAGAGAGAGGAGGTGGCAGGAAGAGGAAAGATGGGAAAGAATAAGGAGCTCCAGATATAATAAATGGTACGGTAGGGTGAAGGGAAGGGGGGTGCCAGAGTACCTGAAGAGAAGTTGGAAGGGGGAAAGATGGCAAAGGGTTGCAAGGTTTAGGTTTAGGTTTAGGTTGGGAGACGGTATGAAGGGAGGTAAATATTGGGAGGGAGAGGAGAGTAGGAAGTGTAGGGTATGTAGAGAGGGAGAGGAGACGTGGGAGCATGTTTGGAAGAAATGTACAGATTGGGGGTTAGAAAGGGGATGGCAGGAGATGGTGGAGGAAGTACTGGGAGAGGAGGGAAAAGGGGAGGGTTGGTTGAAAAAATTAGAAATGAGGAAAGGAGAAGGGTGAGATATGTGGAAATATGAATGAGGAAGAAAAAGGAGAAAAAGAAGCGGCAGAAACGGAGATTCGGGGAATGAGTGTGGAAAGATGCGTAGATGAGTGTGGCTTTCTCTCTCTCTTATGCAAATCGAGAAATGCATGGAATGGAAATTCAATTTAACATAAGCGGATAACGTAAGCGGAGCGAAGTGCCCCGCAAAGGGAATAAATCACATATTATTATTATTATTATTACTATAAATATAATATTATAAAACATAAAAACAAATATAAATAAAGATAGTCACATGTAAAACAACAAACTAAAAAGTTAAGAGCCATTACATAAATTGTGTTGTTGTTCGGGAGCTCGAGCCATGCTTGATGCAATCTCTTCTGCCGCGCACCAGGAAAATTATTTGTATATTTGCCAGTGGCGTTGGAGGATGTCATCGCTGCAATCCGACCTGCATCCATCGAGAGAATAGGACATCATCTCTCTAAAGTACCGATCGTGGGGATTCGAGAGAATATACATGTATATATGTATATTGTGATATATGTATATATGTATGTATCATTGTATTGTTGACGTATTATTCTAAACATATTATTTGCGATAGTCGTCATATGCCTCTGTAGTCGAAGGGATAAGATGCCTGCCCGGTAAGCAGGAGATCCAGGTTCGATTCCTGGCTGAGATGATATTTTTCGCAAAATAATTATGAATTTTCACGATTGGTTTGTGATCAGGCCCCACTGTGACGCACACCCTTCTTTCTTATAAATGTTGTGGATTATGTAAACTTAAATATTCGGAATCTATTTCAAAATTAGTACAATTGATGCCTTCACCTTCGAAACTTGATCATATTACACATCGCGGATACAGTACTATTTGATAAATGATTTCTTTTTTAGTTTTTATATTTGTTACCATCGAAAAAAATACGTTTGGCTTTGGCATTTGAATGGAAAAAAGAAAGAACAACTTGAACAAGTAACTCTAAATGCGGAAATATTTTTTCTCCGTGGAGATCTTTAAACTCTAATATTTTTTTCCATATCTCATCGATTTCTAAAAGCTAACTCTTGTTTTTCAATATTATTATAATTAAAAGCAGATTTCTCAACTCAACTGAACTAATTTGATTGTATCAATATTACCGATTTGCGTAGCAATGAGAGTTAAAACTTTAATTTTATTTCTGCCTTTATGATAAAGCGCGAAGACTGCAAAAACATCAATTGTTTTTTTAATAACACAACAATATACAGCAAGCGTTTTAATATTTCTCGAACGAGCAGTTAAATAAAAATCACTACACTTTAATTTTAATATCTTTCCTAAACTCAACAGATTTTCTAAAACATATTCGCAGTCAGGTCCCACATATGTATCTTTAAGAGCTTGTCTAATTTCTTCGTTATTCAAATTTAGATTACAAATATTTTCTAAAAACTCTGACTTTATAAAATTTTGTGCAATTTCACGAATTAACTGTTTTCATATAACTTGTGAATTAAAATTTTTCGAGACTGAAAAAACTACTGCGTTAAGACTATTAAAATAATGTAATAAATATTTTAAAAATAAGAAATATGCTTTTATTGACTTATCATTTAATTAATCTAAAATGATTTCTGCGGCTTTTATTTTATCTTCAATTACTGCGAGAATAAAATAACTTTGTAAAACATTCTAATTTGTTAATAATTTTTCAACACATTTATGTAAAATTAGCCATCTGATATTGCATAATTTAGGATCTTATTTCTTTCCATATTGAAAAAATCCTGAAATTCAACTAATTGCACATTTCTTATTTCTCGGGCACTGCCCGAGATATAACTACTTATTCTTTGAATAAAATTTGCGCATGATTTTGATAATTTTTCACATGCTTTACTAGCAATTAACGCGGAAGAATGGCAAATGCAATTAAATATAATAAGATTTCGGTATTTCTAATTTTAAACAAAACATAAAAAGTTATTGCATCCAATCATTATTGACGCATTATCGCTTGCCATTTCAACTATATTTTGTAATAGTATGCTTTTCTTTTGAAGAAGATTTTTTAAAGTTTTTGAAAATTTTGCTAGAACTATCTTTTGCGTCTACAGACATTATTTCTAATAATTTTGTTATTACTTTTTTAATGGCGATAAAT